CTGTATACTGATCGATAGGAGCGCGTAGGCTTGGGTATACAAGGTTCTTAAAGCAAAATGGCGGCCTTCGCAACATCAGTACAAAAAATATCACCGATATGGTGGAAAAACCGCCCCCATCCCCTCCAAAAATACTATTAAAAAATTAAAAAACGTGTAAAAATTTTAAAAAAAATCCGCCCGCCCGCCTCTGAAAATTTGTGAGACTGTGACGCTAACCAAGTATTTTTTTTATTTGGCCTTAAATGATTTCGAAAGATCCTCGGCACAGAACAATTGAGAGATTCACCCTTGGTACGATTTTGTCCTGCTTCGGGCCATTCCATTTAATATCCCCACACCCGCCTGTTGACTAGATTTTCTGAAGGGGTATATTGCCAAGGAGATTTAGTTTTTTTAAATTTCCAAGGGGGGGAGGAGGAAGGTATACCTGAAAATTTCCAAGTGGGTGGTCAATAAATTCCGGAAAATTTCTGAGGGGGTCTATTGTAATAGAACCATGTGAACAAGTATTTTCGACTTCAGGGCTTGAGAAAAATTGTAAATTTCCGAGGGGGTTCCACAAAAAATAGCAAGGGTCTTCCAGAAAACCATTTCCGAAAGTGTCAAAAATCAGTGGCCCTTCACAGACTTGCTCCATGAAGAGGGAGGGCCGGCCGTCACGTTGGTTATAGAGCCTCACTTTCATGTGTGTATCGATCATTAGTTAACAGCTTAACATCCAACATCTCAATCACAAAAACAAGACTTTATAGCCAAGGCGCCATATGCTTCCCAGAAGGGGCTGTATTGTTAAATAGTTGGGACAAAAACTTGACATTTCTTGGGTACTAAGGGGCACGTCCATATTCATGTTGCCACACAAAACCGTGGGTTGGTAGGTAAATTTCCTAACAGTGTGACATTTTCATTGTGGCATCATAAAATTTTTGTTAGAACTTACGTTTTTGTGGAGTATTTGTACTTTTATTTTATGTTTGCTTGTATCTTTCTGCCGAAATTTGTTTCCAAGTGCTTTACCAATGAAATTGTGAAAATTTCGCCGAAAATATTTCCGCCAAAATTTTTATCCGCAGCGCAGGTATCTTTCTGTTTCCCAAGATGGCAACTTGAAAACAAAACAAAAAGATTTGTTTGCATTCTTTATATTTTTTCTAGAAGTAATTATACATGAATATGGACGTAGCCCCTAAACTATAGCTACATCAATGGTCTGCGATATTTGGCTGTTTTGGTAATGAAAAAAATGCAGAGAATCAAAATCTGAAATATTGATACTTTTAGTTGCTGGGGCACCTGTCCCGCTGTTACATTAGGAATTTTGATCTATACAAGAAAAACGAAACCATTACCATGCATTAAAGCTGGAATGAGCATCTTAAAATGAGGAAAATATAGCACTGTGAACTTCACAAATTTTGTATATTTCTGCATTACGCACAAGAAAAGTAACGATTTTTGAGCTGAAAGTGGTTATTCTTACTGCGCGTAATACAATTATATACAAAATTTGTGAACTTCACAGACTATATTTTCTTCATTTTACAACATTTAGTGAACCAATCTTTGCAACATTTTACTCATTCTAAAACACTCTATCTATCTGTGGTGTTGGATATCGTTCTTCTTGCCTTGATCAAAATTTAGTCTATAGCTGGAATCACACATTGGAACCAATTGGAATTCCAATAGGAATTGAAATTTTTGGGATTTTTCCTATCGGAATCCATTGATTTTGGACAGAAAAAATCATTCCAATTGGAAATTGGCCCATTCCAATTGGATTTTTTCATATGGGTAGTAACAGGATGGCCACAAAATGGACAAGTCCCACTGATCTCATACTGAACATTGTACATATAGGCCGATATACTGTGAGCATGAATTTTTGCAAATTAAAGTTTGCGAAGGAAGTTTGCAAGGCCAAGGGTTTTCTACGCTGAACTCTCAGTCCTTTACTTATGGGAAAGGTTTCTGGGTTTTATTGTCTGAATATTAAGAATAATTTTTGCATGTCATACTAAGTCTTGTATCTACCATAGAGTTTGAATGACAGAAGAAAGTACAAACAACGAAGACATACTTGACAACTTTTTCCTGTTTGCGCATTATTCTGACAATTATTTTGAGCTGTAGCTGTATTGATAGAGTAGGCCAGCTGTGGGGAGCGGCCTAGGGAGTCTTAAAGTCATTCAAACTAACTAGCCATTTAGTGCGCATTGATTAGATAGCAACTGAACTCTGTAACCAAACTATATTTTTATATAGCTATGGTGAACACTAAACGTGATTGGCTGATTTGTGGTCACGTGACTTTAGACAAATGCAATCCCGCCTGGCAACAAGCGAAAAATTAGAGAGTTTAAGGCAGCGTTTACACTGTACCGTTTTCGTAGCGTTCTCGTATTGTTCGAGAGAACTAGACTATTGTCTTGCGTTCCCTTGAGGATTAACTAGAACAATACGAGAACGCTACGAAAACGGTACAGTGTAAACGCTGCCTAAGCTTCGCGTTATACGTCAAACCGCAAACGCCAGGCAAAGATAAATTTATCAGGCAATAAAGAGTAAGTGAACTTGCTGTTTTAAAACTGAAATACATAATTATTCTTTCGACGCAAGAAAGAAAATATGCAACGAAAACGGACAGCGAAAATTTTGCCAAGAAAGTTCGAACCTGCCGTTTGCCGTTCCCGGAAACGCGAAGCTTAAACTCCCTATTGTTTCCCGCCCCGACCAGCTACGTACATAAATAAACAAAATGGCGGCACAACTAGCATATATAGAAACTACGATTTTCCAAGTTTGTGTTCAAATAAAGAATGTAAAATAGAAGAAAAATACACAACAGGCAACAGTATATGCTGGTGAAACCGTTTAAGTAGGTTCTTTTAATTTTAAACTCGTTTACACTATAGTCTATAGAGTTTTTGTCACGAAATACAATCAATTGTCAATTGTTGTTGGTTTGAATGTTGTATGAATGTTGATTTTTGTTTGTCGCTATATAACAAAACGCTTAATGTCTGTTCTCTCGGAAATAGTTAGTTTTGTTTTCCCTCGAATTTACATGTTTCCCTGGACTTCGTCTCGGACTCTCGGGAAACGTTGAGACTCTAACCTGGACCACCTGATAACATCCAATCTCTATCAGGCCCCAGCAGTGTGTGAGAAAACATTCCGCTTCTTTCGTACCTCAGCCAGCGGAAAATAACACTTCTCACACACCGCTGGTAGCCTGGTAGCTGCCGCAGCATCAGCCACAAATGTACAACGCATAAAGTTCAAATTAACAGTTTATCCACTCTACATTGTTTTAGTAACATGAAGTAAGGAGTTCTTAGAGTCAAGTCAGTCAACTATATAATTGTTCTGTGCCTGTGCAGTTTTTCAGCCTCTTTGCCGCTGAAGCAGGCGGTCTGATATACCCTGTACGGCAGGTGTCCCATTTGATTTGAACCCCCGCCAAATCCCCCGCAAAGTGTTTGCCTATCGTGAGATTGAGTTGTTTTGCCATAAGTAGCTCTGGGTATGTGAAAACTAAATTACTGAATTTAACATTCACCGTTATTGGTTTCTAGTATATAAAAGTGTTTAAAGGGTTCCATATCTACTAGGAGATTTGGACCGCGGGTCCAAATCTGCTGTGACAGTAGCACCACCAGATCATAGACTGTGAAATCCATAAGCTTTGGCAAAAAGACCTTCTTTCACCAACTCTTCCTTAAATAACTCCCGAGCACGACGTATGTCATGTGCGCTACAAAGCTTTTGACCATATTCGGTATTCTGGATATGCCTCCAGATGGTTGTGCCTGCCTAATGATGTCCCTTCTTTAGGAATTGTTCAACGACAGATACAGGGCATGGGGCATTGTTTGCTCTTGCAATCCTGACTTGAGTGCTTTTCCAAAACTGGTCATTTTCTCTCTTCTCCTGATGAACAATCAGATGGGTTGGTGCAAACACTAGATGTTGGGGGTGTCGCGACTACTGTACTGTACTGTATTGTACTGTAAGATCATCTCATCGAAGGAATCTGTAAAATCCCAATGCAATCATTCATTCCCAATGCAATCAATGCTGGCATTTGAGGATCTGTCAATGATCCTTTCTCCAACCGTTGCACCATTGTAACCAGCGCACTACCCAAGGCTGTTTCCTAAACATAGGCTTCGCTAGAATATGTCTAGGTGCTACGGTAACTTGCTTCACAACTGAATGGTCAGTGACCATTGGTCACTTGGACGTCCGTACACGTCCTTTCTGTGAATCCGTCAATCTTACACACCGCCATATTAATTGAAGATGCCGATCGTTGTTGTTGTTGTTGTTGTTGTTGTTGTTGTTGTTGTTGTTGTTGTTGTTGTTGTTGTTGTTGTTGTTGTTGTTGTTGTTGTTGTTGTTGTTGTTGTTGTTGTTGTTGTTGTTGTTGTTGTTGTACTGACTATCCAGAAACACTCTGACTCTTTCCCTCGGTGGCCACAAAAGCTGGCCATTAGCTTTTATGTCCCGGCAGTCCCGCTGAATTTTCAATGACGTCTCCTTTCCATCCCCACATTTTGTCTCGCCACCTGCATCTTCGTTCAAGTACGTGAATATAATCTGAGACTTGGTCCCCTCCAATGCTCGACCAGGCTTAGGAGAACCATAAATTCAAAATCTCTTTCCTGTCCATTATACAGTGTAACCATGCACATTCTAAGCACATAGTATGATCTGGGAATCTCAGTGTGTGAGAAAACATTTCCCGCTTCTTTCGTACCTCAGCCAGCGGAAAATAATAAACTATAAAGTAGACCAGGTTGAGGAAAAATAACTTTGCTTCAAAGCTTAGAGTGGAGGAAGGAGAGCAGAATTGATATTTCAAGTGCTGACAAAGTTAGTTAGCCTGTGTTCCAGCGACCACCAGCTTATTTTGGAAGCACTGACACCATACATGATTGTGCAAGTTATATTTATTGTTCTTTTAATTTTAGTTATGTTTTCATATTTTTCAGTACAGAGAAGATATTACAAAACTGAATGAAGTGGCAAAACACAGACCAAAGAGTACATTACTGTTGGGAAGTAAAGAAGAGAGTACCCGTATTGCAGAATTACAACAAGAAAATATTGATCTACAGACAACATTGGAAGATCATCAGTCTGCTTTGGAACTTATCATGAGTAAATATAGAGAACATGTAAGTATTAAGAAAGTATAAAGGAAAGATCCTGGATTACGAGGTACTGTAGCCCCAACAACAACAACAACAACAACAACAACAACAACAACAACAACAACAACAACAACAACAACAACAACAACAACAACAACAACAACAACAACAACAACAACAACAACAACAACAACAACAACAACAACAACAACAACAACAACAACAACAACAACAACAACAACAACAACAACAACAAATTTATTTGACATTCACAATAACAACATATTTAGTTGGCATTCACATAACACAATTTCATATCACACACGAACGAAAAAATTACTGGAAGACTTAAACAACTGATAATGATAATGTTGAGAGTTAGATACCCAATAATTTACTGAAATTTACTGCAGTACTGCGTGGTATATCATTTGCATTGTGTCACAATGGGCCAATTGCGGAATTGCTAAGCATCATGGTAGTTTAGTTACACAGCAGAATTTTTCAACATGGCGCTTATACTTTTCGAACGAGGGAAGGTGCTAAACACATGAGAATTGCAAGAAAACTTTTATCATTTTCGCTTTGATTAAAGTTTTGACTAAATCTGTACGACTTGTTTCATATTTCTACTTCGTCTTGGACTTCTACGAGCGAGTGCGGTTGAAATATTTAACATGGCGTACAAAGTCACTGAAGCGCGGAAGGAGTTCGATTCGCAGTAGTCAGGAACAAATTTTTGAATATTTTACAACATAAAGGTGAGTACTGCATTAAATTATTTTCGAAAGAAGGAACACGTTGTAAACTATTATTTGCCTAAAAATTTTAATGATCGGTTTAATTCTAGCGACTCGAGAGACAAAAATGTTTGCACACTTGACCGTCCCAAAACAACAGATTTTTGATCAAACGTTCGTTTCACAACCACAAAACATTGAGGTTGTTTGGCGCTAAAAATCAAAACAGTTACTGTTTGAAATACCGAGCTTTCACATTTCAAAGATATTCAAAGATTTATAAAGTACTTTTAAGTACTATTCACTGCTGTTCAAGTGTCTTTTTGGAGTTTTTAACTACAACATATTTACGCGAGTCAAATTTAAAGCAACCTCCCTTGTTTTGAGTATATTTTGGAAAGTTTCGAGCCGTTTGGTTTGCTGTTTGTAAATATGGAGTAAGGAATACAGTGGACAAGAAACCTCAGTGGTATTTTAATACCCATGCATGCATTATTGAAGGAACATTTGATAACTGACTACTCAGTAAACTTGGACCAGGCAAATGCTCACAAGCATAAAAATATGGCTATCAACTGTTTAAAGATAAAATGGTTACCCAGGTTGTAGTTAAGGCTAATGTTTTGAAAGGTACAGAAAATTTTTCCTGTTTAATTAATTAAAAGTGCTGTGCATGCCTCCATGAAAAAGGCACACTATGGAATCTATGTTCACCTACTGTAGGTCTTAGGCCCGGTTTAGACGCCGTGCTTTTCATGAGCCGAACTTAACTCATATTTTACTCGAGGAAAATAGGCGTACTTCCAATTTTGATTTAGACAGGCGTGCTTTTCATGAGCCGTACTTAATAATTTGCGCTGCTTCACTTCGAAACCTGGGGCGAGTGACATTTCATAATAAGAAAAAAGGGTTTATCACATACAATCTTGGCATTTCTGAGCGTCTACACGTTTGCGGTTATTAAAAATTTCAATTGCTTTTTGAAACGCCTTATTACTACAAACATAGCATAATGCCTGGATATAATGTGTGGGGAAACGAGACCTATAGGCCGCTTAGGGCGAGTTTTCCACGTTATTCGAGTTCTCCCAAACTACTACAAGTGTTTCTATAACTGTGTGGGTCATACAAAATAAATGTTTTATATTTATTTCATAATATAACTAAAAAAAGATTTGTAGTAGACTCGATATATTTACAAATTCTCATTGCGTAATAATGCCGACCTTTGCTCCATCAATTTACTGCAAGAAACCCTTTTTGCCTTTATCAGCAAATATCGCTATAAGCCTAAATTCGCAACTTTTATGCAAAGAGTCTAACGAAAGGTGCATCCTTTGCTACAAATTGACGTATATAAAGAAAAGAATGGGAAATTCTACCGCGATATTTGCCGATAAAGCGGTATTAAATCACTATAGAAAAAATAGAACAAATTACAGAAATACAAAACAAGCCAGAAGCGGGAAGGTTTTTGTATTTTGACTGTATTAAACAATTCTTAATTTGCATTGAAATTGTTTTGTTTACGATTGTAAGTTTAGGCGGGAAATTTCCCGCGTAGAAACACGCTTCTCGACCAATCAACGCACGCGTATTATAAATGTTCTAATTTATGCATTTGGTACGGCTCATGTAAAGCACGGCAGTATAAATCAACATGTGCTTCAGCCGTGTAGCACGCCTGAACCAGGCGAACTTATTAATTTAGCCGTGCTTAATATTAAGTGCAGTGCTTAATTGATTTAGACGCCGTGCTTCTCATGTGCTTAATTCATTGTATTAAGTTCGGCTCATGAAAAGCACGGCGTCTAAACCGGGCCTAAACCTATTCGAAACACTTTACAAGGCTTCGCAGAGAGAGCGAAACAGAAGGCGGTATTAAATTGCCGTTTGAAACGAAACGAAACGATCTGGACTCGGAACGCTCTCTTCTTTTGTAGAGTTCTTTACCAAATGAAATAAATTTCGTACTTTCCGCCGCCAACAAGAATTGCACACACGATCTGATAAGTGAGACAATTTATTTATAACAATGCCAATGGCGACAGCGAAGCACATAACCTAATGTGGTCGCCCGACTTCCCTCATGATTTGAAGTTTGAGACTGGTTTTCTGTTGAAATTCGTCCTAATTTGCCTGTTCCGATTTTAGTTGAAAATGAGCACTTGCAAATTTGGCAATTACTGACTGCGTTGCTTGCTTTTTTTGGAGTTAAAACGCAGCCATTTACACATTGTTTATTAGTGTTCTGAATAAGCAGAGAAAACCCCGCAACATTTTAATGCGAGTTTGTTTGTTAATATTTGGGTGCTGTCATTGGTTCTTTTTTGACAATTGACGCGCGAATGGGCGTGTTATGAAAAGGGGCGTATTTCAAAATACCGGGCGATGGTTGCAGGCCCACTATCAAGTTCCCTTGGGCCTGCACGCAGGCTAGGATAATCCATCTCAGACATACAGAAAACTGTATGTCGACCGAACTGCGCATGCGTTGGCAAAAGCAAAACAAATTGTTTGAAATATTTTATTCTTTCGTCTATAAAATGATTATTTTTTCGGGGTTTTGGTGGAAATGTTGATGTTCTTCATAGTGGGATACAAAAGGTGTGTTAGCGACTGAATAAGGAAAATATTGCGTGTGAAACAGGGTCAGTATAGAGCCGGCAGGAGCCGCGAAGAGTGCTGTTGTAGTGCACCCTATTTTGTTATTTCACTGTACTTCTGGACAGGGATGGATCCAGCATGATCTGGTAGGGGGGGTGCCTCTGGTGCCAAGTTGTGTTGGTCATGTGTGCCGCCCGCCCATCAACTACTGTATTTGAATTGTAATTGTTCACAGTTCACTTATCATCATGTTATTACTCAAATTACTGTATCTCATTTTGTCTTTTTTGCTTTATCATGAAAAATAGCACCTCCCCTGCAACATCTCTGGCCAGGGCTAGGGGGGTGCACCCCCCCCCCCAGTAAATCCATCCCTGCTTCTGGACAATATTTCTCATCAATGGCCAGAAATGTACTTGACTTCATGTTGATTACTGCCATTAATTAATTAACTACTGTACTAAATAGGACATTCAAGGTTGGAGATATAATAGCAATGAGGTTGCTAGCTATCATTGTAGCATTCAGGGGCATCACTAGCCCAAATTGTCAGTCATTTGGCAATTTATTGTATCGCAATCAGGAAATTGTTTTCGTGGCCAGCATGATTTGAATTGGATAGGAAGGGAAAAAACTGAAATATGAGTTTTTGTTGCCCATCCCCTTCTCAGAGTAGGTATGTGTTGTTTTATAGTGTAAAAGTAACAAGTTTTGATATTGCAATCAAACAGACAGGGTAGTTGTCATGACCATGGTAATAAAAATATTTCTATGGCTCGGCATTTATATTGGGCAATTTTTTATCATTCATCACAAAATTATACCTGCACCCTAGGTGGTTCCCTACAGGGGGTCATAACCAGGGGGAAGCTGATGAAAATGAATTCTGGTGACTGCATGATCACTATCATTTAAAGGAATAGAACATTTCTTAAAAAAAAGTATATGAATTTATTAAAAATATTTATATGGTCTCCCAATCTGGAATTCATACTTTGTAACATCTGGATCAAAAAGTTTATGACGTTTTCTTGGACAGAATCCAATTAATACAACTTCGTACAGAGGGCAGGGCTTCTTTGAATTACTGTGTGGACAAGATTAACAAAGGGATTGCCAATTTGGCATATTGTGCTACTCAATAAATTAAAATCATTAAATACTTTATGCTACAATTAGCTGTCAGTAATATTATACTGTATATTATTGTGTTTCATATGACATCATAAATTTGATGGGTGGTCAACTCTAAATCGAGACACAGTCATCAGAGGGAATTAATTTTTCACTGTATGTGTTGGCCTTGTGTTTCGTTGCAAATACATGCAATTTCATGTCATTTGCTCACTCCAGTACAACATAAGCATCAATACATTTTTTAGGTTGACCCCCTGTCAGAACCAATGACAGAACGTGCAAAATGCCATAGTGAAATCCAATAATTCATTATATGTATTATGCACTTATCAATGTTAAGCCCCAGAGGAGGGGGTCAGGCATAGGTGGGGCATTTGATTTTTAGAGCAAATTTTCAATCAAATGTCCCACCGTCGGGCAATAAATATTAGTCAAATGCCCCACCATTTTGCAATAAATAGTATGTTAATAAAAGTCATTTGGTTCAAATTGCCCCAACTCGGGGCCAAAATGCTATTCAAAATCCCCAGGGTGGGGAGCAATTGATGATTAAATACCCCACATATACCCGACCCCCTCTGGGGGTTAACATTGATAGGTGCATTAGGTGTATGCAGACTGGAATACCAGTTTAATTTAACAACTTTAATTTGGCACATAAAAAACTGAATATTTACATAACTTAAACGGACAATTACATTGTACAAGAAGACGAGGAAAGTGGCGAAACACAAACGAGACTATGTCCCATGCAGGGTGCTCACCACTAGACAAGAAACAAAGACAAGAAACAAAGACAAGGAAGATTAAATGAAAAGACTAAGAGAATGAAAAGGCAGAAAGAATGAAAAGACAAAGAGAGAAATGTTAGATATTTTTTATTGAGTCGTGATAAGTGAGTGTGAACTAGGTAAGTCAGGAGTGTAGGAAGTACTAGTGAGGTGGATGTAAGTCTTGCGCAAGTATGAATTAAAAGAGGAGACAGTGACATAACAATACGAAGGAGCAGACGTACAAACATAGTTCCACAGTTTAACAATTCTAACACAATACGAACTTAAAATATCACTGCCTGTGAAATTGTGGTTTATTTAGCGAATAAAGGTTTTTTGAAC